ATAAATTTAGGATGAATATGATTTAGCCAAGTCGTATAGCCCTAGTAAATGTAGATGTACTGTATGCCTAGATGGACAGCCTCGGCTCGGTTCTAGCCTGGCCTGGCTCTAGCTAGTCCTAGCCTAGGCCCTAATTTATTAAGGTACGCCCGGCCTAGGCCTAGCCTATAATAATGCCTACGTCCTAGACTCTACCGAATATGAAAAATTGACCTAAAATATATTGCACCATGTTAAATTAGAACCACAAAGTGTTACATAAACTTGTGAAGGTGCTGAGTATATTCCCGTCGCGTAAACGGAAACGAAACGGCTTCTGAACTGGACGGGAGCTTGGTTGCGAGTACGGTCACGGTCTGTTGGTTCCTCCGCACTGTGTGCTCACCGTCCTCAAACGAAAGCTCGGTACTGTAAAGTAGTATTACAGTGTAGGCTATATTGTAGATACACTATATATCTCACTCAATTTAAATGAGGGTTCACAGAATAATCCAAAATACCCCTTTCACAAAGCTTGGGCATAACTGTCAATGTATTCATGATTTATGAATTCAAAAGTATTTAAAAGTAATGATCAGTCATTTTTGGGCCAATGATGCGTTGATTTAGATCTGTTAAAGATATGTTGTGATGGTTAAAGTTATGGAAGGAGGGTTTTTTTCAAATCTTGTAGAAAGAATTGTGCTTGTGCTATTTTTATTAATTTAATTGTAACTTCAACAGATTTGCAGGCACAAGTGGGGCAGGTTTGTTCATACACTTAGAAAACCATCAGACAAGCCTTGAGATGGAACCCACAGGAAAAAAGAAAACAAGGTCATCCAAGGAATAGCTAGTGGAGGAATGTGGAGTATGAGGCAAGTGGGACAGGGTACTCTCTGGACCAGCTAGAAGGGATAGCCCAAAACAGGGTGCGCTGGCGTGCTATTTCCAAGGACCTATGCTCCACGAGGAGTTTTTTAGTCAAGTAAATTGTAACTTTAGTTAGTAAAATTTATTGTTGTTTTTTAACGTACTGTCAATACACAAGCACTACTGTCACAAAATGTACGTTCAATTAAATTTTTAAAAAGGTATGAACTCATTAAAGTGTAATTCACACTCATTGCAAAAATCAATTTTTAGTCATTAATACAGGGTTAAACAGTAAAATTAAAGTTTAAAATGGTGAGACAATCATTTAAATCTGACGTTTCATTGTGAAGTTACAGGGGTTTAAACATGTAGCTGTTTAAATTAAATAACAATAAATGTATAGATTTGAAAATTTTGACATTTCAACATGAACATTAACTCAGAAACATAATTTCCGACAAAAGACGGATTCCGCATGTCTTTGTCACAATTGCTTCCATCTCTAGATAAGGTAGCTATTGGGAAGGAACTATAATCTAACTCTTTATTTAAAGTAAATCAACTGGAAAATAGGATATTGTACATCTATATTCTTCCTGACAAGTGCACATTGTTTATACTAATTGTAGCAAACCTTATCTTGCAAACAGGGAGGTGTCATATATTTTTGTACTTCAAAACTATGACTAATCAATTTCAAAATGTTACACTGTAGATGATGTGCCTTCACCAAGGGCATAAGTAATAAAAATTATTAAAACGTGCATCAGTCTTGGACTCACAACCTTTTGAATAAGAGCCCAAAGATTTAGGGTATGTTCACACACGGCGTAAGGCTGGCATAACTTACATCGGTGTAAAGCTAATACACAGATAAAAATTCTAAAGTATTCACAGAAATGGCATTCGCTATATCAACGCGGGCGTTAAACTAGTAATAGTAATACAGACCTTTAGGGGAATACTTTTCAGTTTTAAATAATGTACAGGTGCTTAACTATATAAAGACAAGAGCGACTGCTCACCGGTCTGCACGTTCCTCAACGTTTAAATACAGTACAGGCAAGAGTTTATATATTGGGTTTTTTGGAAGAGCTAATAAAATAGAAATTTTTAAATAATTAGAATGTATATTTGTACAAAAAAAAAATATTACTTAGAATGTTCATTTGTACAAAATTAAAAAGTCTCAAAATTGAAAAAAATAAAATTTCTTAAAATTGGGGGAAAAAAAATTGAATACCAAAACGGGATTGGAACTCACATCCATAAGTTCTTTAGGACGCAACCTTAACCAACTGCGCCCTATTAGTGGCAATGGCTGAGTCCTTGCTGAAACCCGTTTGTTTTGTAGGTGTACAGTAGTGGGAACCCTGGGGTCAAACTTATAAAAAGGGTGGAGAACGTTTGTTGGAAATCACTTGTAATTTTAAATTAGAACTTAGAAGTTAATAACTTACTAAAGTACAAAGTTAAACAATTCAAAGTTAAACATTATTTTTAAAGTATATTAACTCCACACAAATAGAGAGGTTTTAAATGAAGCCATTCTTTAAACATTATAATCATTGAGTTTATGTATATAGACTGATTGGCTACCTGATATTCAAATCTCCTACTCTAGTGTTTATTTTGGAAACAAGTTAATTGTTCGACCTAGTAACACATGAATGCCATACGGAAACTAAAAACAGGATTATGTAAAAATAATGTTAGTTTCTCATCCGAAATTTTTTGAAAAAGAGCCCCTTGTTATCTGGTTGTTCAGCAGGGCTGGAAAGTGTGTGATCGTGCAACTGGCGGTAAGAGACGTCGCTAATCATCCCAGAGGCATTTTTGGGCATTGCGCATTTTACCAAGGGGTATTTAAAAAAAAAATAACAACAAAAATTATTTAAAAAGTAGTTTGTCGTTTTTTTTTTTTGGCGTTTTTTTTTTTTGGCTTGCTCTAGAGCACCATATATAACTCTAGTGAACAGATAATACTTTGTGCTGGGCATGTTTAACCAAAAAAATAGAAATTTCCGGAGTGTCAATCAAGCTTAACAACCGACCAATAAAACATTAATATTAAGAGTATGAGCTTGTCTAACCATAGAGAAAACAGAACAGTCTATTTCGTGAATACTTACCTGGATAAACCGACTAATTGCCTATTCTTTCTCAAACATGAGAACACCACTCGAAAACAAAATGGAAGTCGGCCCTGGCGCCAAACACAAGCGACCCTGCCACAATGCTTCTTCCCCATTCTTTTTCGATACATCGATTGGAATACTTTGAAAGCGATTTTCGTGTCTTTGGATTCTGATTATATCAAGGATATATCTACTTGGATTCATAGGATGTAAAGTCAGAGTGTTCCCTCTGTAGGGGCCGGGCCCTAAACTTAGCCCCAAGATTGATAACCATGAGGAGTTATGCCCTTTTTTTCTATGGTCTCACAAACACACGTGTGTTCTACAAATGCTTGTGTTTATACTATCTTTTTGTGGGGCCTTAGCAACAATCCAAGGGGCGTGGCTTAGCGGAAAGGTCCGTCATATAGTGGGAGGAACAAACTACGTTATTCCAGGTTTGGTTCTCATGTCATTGTCCGCTTTCTCAGATTAAGTCAATTATGATATCAACATTGTAATGAAATTATGAAATTTATTGTTCACAGGCCTATTAGGATCAGGAACTTTCCAGTGAAATTCAAAAATCCAAGTTTAAAGTTTATTAATATATAGGCTCATAATAGGCCTATATATTTATATTTTTGTAATGGACTTGGTTTGCAATAAGGAAGGAAAGTTTCATAATTGTATAGTACCTTGTATTTTGATGACAATAAAGTTATCTGTATCTGTAATATGAAAAATGTTGTTGGTAAAATTGTAGCCCGGGGAGCTCACTTGTACACCAACCAAACAGGGGTGCCACAACTACTTCAAGACATGAGACACTTGCGCTACCTATTTTACTGTAAATTTACAAAAATCGGGCTGTGCTCTAAATAATGACAGGAAAAAGGCCACTCAATAGTGCCAGATAGATCGCAATATTCACTGGTTCTTATTTGGTAAAAAGTGTTCCGTCCAGTCGTGATCTCGTTGCTGTACCACAGGTAGACTTAACAAGGGGCTTAGCACCCAGTCTAGCTTGAAATTCCCACTAAAATTATGTGGAAAATCATGGCACTTTGACACAGAATAGGCCAGGAACTTTAACTACCAATTTCACCCCGGTTATTTCCCACACTTGTGCTACAAAGTCTTTGCAAGTATACCCCAAATGCTCCTCCCCCGATATTTCCCACACCTCTACCAAGTCCTCGAAAATATACCCAATAAATGCAGCACCTCCCCATATAGAAATATTTAAGAGTGAGTCCCCTGGGAATTGTAATGACTTGAAAAAAATATATATTTTTTTTATTTAAAATAAAATTGAGATTCCACCAGAAAACAACACTATTAAAAATCTCCAAAATTAGAAGTATGATCATAATTACAGTACTTAGTATACAAACAAAAAATCATGAATACTGGCTTGCATCTTCGATGCTGTGTTTACCAAACGATTCTTTACCATATGGTACTAAGTTGGACTTTGGATGTTGAGTGGTGTGGTCTTACTTATCAACTAGTTGATTAATACTGTATCATTGAAATTATTGTACAAATAATCATATTCATATATTTTTATATGGATTCAGAGTTGAGACCACTTTAGTAAACTATATAAGCATATTTTCTTTTAATTATTAATATTTTACTGCAGTTATTATATGCAAGCAAAATTGACTGGCTCATCTATGTATATTTTGTTTTCCTTATCAAACTATGCACAATACCAAAGACAATTTACTTAACTAAGTAGACATATACGTGATGCTCAAGGTTGCTAATTCTGGTTATGAATATTCTTGTGACAACAATTATACCAACAAACAACCATAAAAATTCCCAAGATTGCCATTCATCTCTTTAATGGGAATGAGATAATCAATGACAAAAATCTTGAAGATGATTAACATGACTGTCATCAGTAAGCGAGTAAGATGTTGCATGAGAATCTATTAGACGATGATGCCTCTGCATGCCTGCACTGTTTTGCACACTGGGCTACTAGGTGCATGGTTAATTACAATGAATTCTCACCTTAGTTTCAGATTCTGCATAAACATTTCCTCATTAATTTCGTCCAAAAGGACGAAATCACCTTTCCCAAATTCTGGACCTTCATCTAGTTCAGCCATTATGTTATACGGAACTACCAAGAATGAGTATCAAGCTACACTTTCAATTCCGCTCACTTTCAACTCCGCTCAGCCAGCTCTGAGTCTACTCTTCGTGTCTGTCTGAAGCTTCCGGTTCCAACTGTTTGTTTTTCCTGCTCACCGCTCAACCACACACACTCGATCGAATGCGCCGCCCCACGATGACGTCATTCATATCTGGAACTGGGACCATAAATGGGCAATGCAACATATCCTGCTGTACTAAAAAAAGTAATCTCCAGCGGCAGTTTAAAACCAGGCTCGGGAGACATTTTTTTGTTTTGTTTTAAGATATGTTGATTTATTAACCGCTCCCGAGTTTTTCGTCAAATATGCTTTTCGTGTCTTAGAAAAATCAGTTCTACAACATTTTAAAAAACATGTTTTCCTCCCGAGTCTGGTTTTAACTCTTGAAAGTGTAGAAGAAATACCGGCCTTCAGGCAATGTTACATAACCTATATCATTTTAGACTTCTTATGTTTTTAACACTATATATATA